GGTCTGTGTGCAGGTGGTGACTGAGTGGTCGAGGTGGGTGGTGGTCGCGCACGCGGGACCAAGCAGAGATGCCCATTTGTGGGGGGAGGCGGGGGCCGCGGCAGCGTGAACACGCGTGCGTCCACTTCTGGTCGTGCGGTCCTCGCGCTGAGGCGACGGGCTCATACACGCTTGAATCCATACGCGCCCGTGCGCGCGCGCACACACACACACATACACACACACACACGCACACACACAACACACACTATCCCCCCCTCAAAACAAACAGCCGCGGAGATGTCTGAGATCCGCCTGGCGGTCTCGGGCGTCAAAGAGTCCCTCGAGTCCCTCCGCGCCAACGCCGACGCCTCCCGCGCCGGCATCTTGCGCCTCAACCTGCGGGAGAGCCGCGACATGCTCGCGCGGCGGCTGCGGGAGGCGACCGTGCCGGCCGCGTCGGCGGCGGGCGCGGGCACCGCGGCGGGCAGCCTCGCGGCGGCGCGGCGGGAGGCGCAGGTGCTGTTGGATGAGGTGGACGCGCAGTTCTTTTCGTGATCTGGTGATCTTAGTTGGTGTCGATGTTGATGCCGCATCCATGTGATCTGATTGCGCGCAAGACGGCTGTCCTGCTGCTGCGGCGCGGGACCAGCCCGGCCATGACTGCGGCCCATGCGGCGCTTCGCCAGACCTCGCAGCTGCAGCCTTTCGAGGCGCCTTCTGCGCCTCTGTGTGTGCATCGCCGCAGCTCCATTGCAGTTCGGCCCCAGACGCTACGTCTTTCTTGCGCGTGTGCTGCGACTATGTATGTGCTGTGTTGCTCGGCGCTCGTATGGTAGTACCTGTACCCCTCCCGACGGCGCCGCCGATTATGAACGCGCAGCAGCCCAGCAAAAGGGAGCAGCCCTCTGCACTCGCCCCCTGGTTTGCCGCGCTGACTCAAGCGCCACGGCGGCGCGCGCGTCGTCAGTTTCACCACCCTGTGACACTGTTCGCACAACTTCCGACAGGCCTCGTCACAACCCTCTGTGCGACACATTTACAACTGCTTGCCGTCAGTCAGCGATGATCGCAGGAAGCGCCGTCCGCAGCACCGACACGGCCAGGTCAGCGGTCAAAGTGCGGCGATGCAGCAGTGGCAGCCGTAATCAACTTTCAGCAATAAAGTAGATATGGACTCTGCACGGTAGTGGCAGGGCAGCCTGCAGCGTTTGCATGACAGTGGTGCGGCGGGGCGCCAAGAGTATAAATGTGTGATGAAATCCTCAATGATATGCAGGTGGGGCGGTGACGCAGGCGGCGGACCACACCCCCGAACTGTGCATTTGCCGGCCAGACAAACAGCATGGAGTTCGAGACGAAACGACACAAAGGGATGGTTGAAACGGAGCTACTGGTCTGTTGCGGCCTCCCCCTAACGCACCTGCGCGGGACCCGCGCAGATCAGCCGCAGCTCCCGTCCGTCGCGGTCAAGGGGGCAACCCCCCACGCTGCATGTGCACGAAGCAAAACGAATGTTTCTTCTATTCTCAGTGGGCTTGCAGCCAATTAATAATCTTCTCGGGGTCAGCCGTGGTGATGCCCTCTTCCTCTGCCACTTTTGGGTACAGCACTGGCGCGTCCACCCAGTGCCAATCTCCAGGAATGAAGATCCGGGCGGGGGGTGTGAGGGAGAGGGGCGGGGTCATGTTTTGAGGGGATGCAGAGGGGCAGGGGGGACCGCGTCGCGCACACTGTAGGGAGCCCTCTCTGCTGGAGCCTCGACTTTGGCGCCATCTCCTACTCTCCCACACCCCATCCTCTTTCCCTGCTAGCCCTCCCCGCTCCCCCATTCCCCACCCCTCCAAGCTGCCCATGCTTTCAATCAAATGCACCCAACCGTGCTAGCTCACCGGGCCCCAAGTCTGGTTTGTTCTGATCTGTGAACTGCTTGAGCAGAGGCACAGAGTACACCTGGCGCGGGGGCGACAAGACAGGCGGCAGTGAGTGAGCATGGGGACGAGGGCCGGTCCTTGCTCAAGCCTCAGGGGGCTTCGCGGGTGCGCGTGCGGAGGCACGCGGGCGGCTGGGCTGTTCAGACCCGACACGCATAGCCGCGGAGCAGCCGGCGCGGGGACCAAAGCGAGGGGCCCGGTTTCAGGTGGGCAGCGCAGGCGCACGGCCGCGCACAAGGGCAATCCAGTCGTACTCAAGGGACTGGCCTGCGTGGCGGCTGCTGTCGCGCACACGACTGTCTCGCAGGGCAGGGCGGCCCGTACCCTGAACCCTGGAATCCACCAACACCCACACAACGATAACAACACCCAAACGCGCCGGAGGCGCCGCTGCACGCGTGCCCAGCCGCGCGCCCCACCTGGCCGCGGTTGGCGACGCCTGCCCACAGCCCTGAACGCGATGGTGGGGGCGAACCACGAACACACGGGTTGTGAATCAGCTCCCTGGCTGCAGCTGATTGGTCCCCAGTGCCTTCTGATGCGTGCCATTCAATGGCACGGAAGTTCCGCCCTTATTGCTTGAAAAGGCACGAGGCTGCGCGCGCATGCACACACACCCACCCACCCAC